TCAGTTAACCGTCTCTTCTCGTGTACTGTACAATACGCCTACATATCGGAATGTAAACCTGTTAAAGCAGTCGTAATTTACGTATTGAACTTTGAAGGATTTCATTTCAAGTTTGTAAGTAATTAAGTATTTGAACGAGGGAGCAATTTACTCTTGNAAAAAAAAGAAAAGAAAAGAAAAAAAAGAATTCCTTCTTCTCCTTCTTCTCTCTTGCAGCTAGGAAAGTGTAATAAGTCATTTCACACTCTCTCCATTGTCAACAGGCACGAGTATCTACCGGATGTATTATCACCTACATCAAATTCAGGAAATGTTTTGTAAGTGCAGAGATGAGATGCTCTAGGAGTAACCATAGCAACACGTGCAAATGCCAAAGTAGAGGAAAAGAAAGATCACTTCTCGCATCTTTCTTTATAGTTCAATAAATGTGCACGAAATATTACTCGTTTCCTATTTATGAAATTTCATATTGAAGCAAATAACGTCTATATTATTTAGTAACAAGAATTTATCATCGTCTTCCTTTTTTCCTTTCACTCCTTCCTTTGAAAATTTATACAAATATTGATCAAAATTTATGAATTTGTTTACTTTTTAGACTCTTATTTATTGTTATAATAATAAAAATAATAATCGGTAAATAAATTATAGAAATTTTAGACAGAGCAAAACCTGTGTAAAACGGAACCTGCCTAAACCGTGATAATTCAGTTTACACAGGTTTTATTGTATATGTAGGCAATAACAATAATATTTATACATAAGTTCGGGTAGGACTGAACACATCTAGCAATTAAGAATACAAAAATTATCATGGAATTATAAGAAAAATGAAATATTTTATTATTAATTTATATTAATTATATCTTAATTTATTAATATTATTTGTGTAAATCTATTCAAATATTCATATAGGATATATTAATTAAGATAAATTGTATGTAAAACTATATATATAAGTTATATAAAGGGTGGTCCAAAACTTAGTTAACCGCGTTCTGCATTCAAGTACAGTACATCTGTTAATGTGAATTGTAAATTGAGTTTATAACAGTATTTTCCTTTTTACAACATTAATGGAAACGTATGAATAAATATTAAATAACACAGTAATTAAATCTTTACAATGTTAACTGATTTTTGGGCCACCCCTTATTCGTAACGTTGAAAACAAAGCTCCGTTTACAGAAAAGTATTAATGTTATTTTATATATAAAATATTAATAAATGTAACGTAGAATTAATGATTTTTGATAGAATATAAGTGAAAGAAGGCTAAATTATTAAATATACGGAGTGGACCGAAAGTCAGTTAACCGTCTCTTCTCGTGTACTGTACAATACGCCTACATATCGGAATGTAAACCTGTTAAAGCAGTCGTAATTTACGTATTGAACTTTGAAGGATTTCATTTCAAGTTTGTAAGTAATTAAGTATTTGAACGAGGGAGCAATTTACTCTTGAAGTGGGTCAACTGACTTCTGAGTCACCCTATATATTAAAAGAATAATTAATATTTAATTTTACTTTCTTGGCTATTATATTCAATTTCCGAATCGATTATTCTTATAATTTATGCCATCGAGGACAATTTTCTCCTCGTATATTTCGAATTTCGCGAAATCTTCACCGTTTTCTCTCGATATAACGTTAATTAAGTAAATTATAAATCGTTAGGGTTTCATTAAATGACGTCAAACTCTTTCGTTTTATTAATAAAAGGGGGAGTTTTATCTACATATTTACGATCATTTTACTTAGGTATTATCAAGAAATTATATCCATACAACGTAACGATCAATGTCCAAACATCCTATACACACGCATATATTAAAGATACTAATCACACGAAGTATACCCTAGTTACATATCGCATGTAACGTTATCACTAAATATATAATATACTTAAATAGATATTAACAATATAAAATATTATTTGATAAGTTAATATTTACTTTATCATTCTACCATAGATTTGCTTAACTTTGATTATATTATTAGTACAGTAAAGGGGCTATTCTCTTAGCGCTGTTTGGTAATTACAAAGGGATATGTGTGTGGGACTACATTCGACTAAAGCTTAGTTGTATCAGGAGGATTTGGTCAGACTTCAGCAATGGTTTAGTGTCATGGCATGCCAGTAGGGAATGTACACTTCGCATCAGTCTGCTTAAATTAGATGAATTAAGACATTGGAGGGAGTAATTATTTCAGTGGAGTTCTCCTTAGTCACTATTCAATCTGATTGTCTTGCGTCTTCCCATCTTGTCTCAAGTGCCATTGTGTGATTAGCCAACTTCACCAACTCTCTTCAAATGTATGCTTCGTCGCTTGCTTAACACTGGAAATGTTACTAAATGACATCCTTGGTTAAATTGTCTTCAGTAGCCCCTATTTTCTCTGATAAAATATTCAAAATATATTCTACAACAAGTTTAAAATTAACTATATTTCTAAAACCTGTTCGAAGTAAATATACTTCAGACTTAATTTTATTCTGTTAACTTCTATATTTAATAATGGATTTCGTAGTACTTGTTATGGTATTTAAATAGTGAAGAACCCTCTTAAATTTACTGTTAAAATATTTAAATTTAAATATTTTAATAACTGATCGTGCACACTCGTGGATAAATTTTATAATTTAAAATTTAATTTTTTTTTGTTTTTTTTAGGTGGGAGTAAAATAATTTAATATATATTCATCACTTCAGTGTGTATATATGTAGTTTAAGCCGAAGCGTATAACTTATACAGTAGACGAAGCTTTTTTACACGTTTTAATCTTTAGTAAGAGTTTGATCAAGTGGTCCTCCCTGTGTGATTTAACCTTCTAAAACAGTGAATTTAAACTTAGATATTTAGATACCACTCACGTGTCAATGCAATTTGCTTGGTTTCTAGTCAAGCGAATTAATCCTGCTTACCACTTTCGCTTTTTCAACCTCAAACTAGTTTACTTAGAAAACAGGGGACAAGGAAATGAACTTTAGTGCAGAGCACTTGAGAAAGGAATTTAGAAATTAATTTCCTCTCATTGGGAGACTTTAGAAGTGTTACTTGACAGTGAGAGTTTCTACGCTGTAAAACATTTTCTTTACTTTTTTCTTTATCGTCTTCTCTTGACACCCTAGTTACTTGACACAAGCTATATGCGATGTGTCAAGTACGATTTAATAATTCTTAAAGGTACCTGAGTGAGGTGAGAATTTTATAATCACTTAATTGCCATAATAAGTCAATAGTTTATATATCTTTTACTCCCTTTTCATAATTTAATTTTCCAAGAAATCAACTTTTCAATTAAGTTTCAAACCTATTACTTATAAGAATTTCATCTTTTCTACAGAAAATATTGATGTTCATATTACTCTTCGGTAGATGAATAGTTCCTTTCTTAGAAGAGAATGCCTTCTTATTCTCCACTTCTATTAATTAAGCTCTATATGGAATCTATCAAAGGAAAACATCAACTTAAAAAAAGGTAAATTTCCTCTTCAATTAAATGAAGGCGGTAAGTTCAAAACCGACAACGTGTTAATAGATAGCGAGAGTGTTAAATGACATCTTTTCATGTCAACAATTACTAGAAAATATGTCAATAATCAAGCTAATTATGGATGAGTATCTCCATGGTTATAAACAGAAAGTAATTCATTGGATGAAGAAAAATAAATAATTAGATATTCTCGTGTAAATTCTCGTGTTTTTACATCATTAATATAATAATTAATTATTTAATAATTATTATAATTCAAAGATTTAGTAAATTGTTGTAGAAAAAGGAGATAAAATATGATGTCACGACGATAGATCGTATGACACATTTTTAAATTCGTATGAACGATTGTTTTAAAGGGTTACTTTTGTACCTTCTTTTTTTTTGTTTGTATCAAGACTAATGACTAACAGAAGAAGAAAAGCTGACCGCTATATTAAAGGAGATTGATATGGTATCACTTTTGGAAACAAATCACAGAGTAGAAGATAGGTGACCAGCCCTCCAAGACTAAACCCCATTATTTTCTACTAGTATAAGAAAAACTGTCGTATCGACCTAAGAACTAACCGTCAGTTTGGCAACTTGACTGCTACTTTACCTTCCATTGTGCTTCTCCTCTTAAACAACATCAACCTTTATACTGTTCCTTTTCTAAATGGCCCTAGTAGTTTCTGTATTGGGGCGAAGAACGGAAGTTCTTAAAGATTTCCTTTCACTTCCTAACGATTAAACGTTTCTCTAGAAGCAGTTACGAGCTGATTAAACGAGGTTGACACATTTCTAGAAGTGGCATTTGATAGAATTTCTATTCTTTAAAACGAAAAAAAAAATGGAAGAATTTCTCTAAAATTTGACTCAGAAAACGTTGTTTTTTTATAATTATTAAAAACACAATCAATTTTATGACATTTCCAGATTATTTATCGTTGTATCGAGGATAAATGACTATAGCAATATAAACGGTATTAGTACCATGACATATACCATACACTAACCAATAAATCCTGCGATCTGTAATAGCGTAACATGAAAATCTCTATTAGGATAAATGAAAAAAATCACTATAACCTATGGAAAATAAATGAGGAAGAAAATCGAAAAAAATGTCATTACCGATCGATATTATTACTTATAGACTATATATATTATTAAAGATGTATGCCTATTATTCGTACTTGTAAGAAGTTATATATAAAGAATATATCAATTTTAGTTAGTAAATAAAACAAAAATACTCGATTAATTTATTAAATTTTGGTTAGTCAAACTAGTAATTCGGTCAAGTGAATTACAACTTTATTTTATAGACATTTGTTGCAGTTATATTGATTTTAATGTAGCGGATCACATGAACGTTAAATTAATCTTGGTAATTTGAATAAGTACGGCTGTCTGCTTTGCTATTCATGTGTAGAAAGTTGATTATTCGCATTCGAGTAAGCATTTGAGGTCATTGAAAGTGTTTCCTTCAAGAGCGACGAAGCGAACAATTCCAAGATGACAGCAGAAGAAACCTCTCTAGAGAAAATAATGGAAAACATCAGTACGATAGAAACAGGATATCCCGGGCGTTGTTTTCTATTTAGCTGTTTCAGCTCGCAGGAAATCCGTTGCAGTGAGCGGAATCCCGCTAGCTCAATACCTTTATCATCTGGTTTCACAGAAGTTGACATTCCAATTGTCCAAAGCAAGTGATCATAAGAAGACCGTTGGGAGAATTTCGAAACAGTCTGGCAAAGGAAGATACCGAGACCATTTATAGTTGTGGGATTTTTTCTTGTCATATCTATACTAGGGATATTGGATGAGAGATGAGCACTATTGGTGAAAAAACCTTAACAATAAATGAAACGTTTCTGAAGATATGTGATTGTCTGTAGTCACATTGCCTTATCGATACTCTACTAAACAACTTTTAACTTTAAAACTCTTATATAAAGCTTAAAAAATTAAATATTTTTCATTAAAAATTATACTTTTAATCTAAATTTCGTTAAATCAAACGAGAAAATCTTCAGAATCATCTCATCATTATACATTGGATATTTTTTTTTTTTTTAATTTCAATTTTAAAAACAAAGAGATTTACAAAACGCAATTACTTATTCGATTTTCTGTATGCAAAACATCAAAAATATTTTTATAATAAATGAAAAATAAATGCAAGATTTAAGTCGTTTAGTAACATCGTTACTGAATTGTATGCTTTGCAAATTAATGAAAGTTTGTTTCGTGTTCTCTACGAGATATTTCGTCGTCAAATTTCTCTTCACAGATGTGACATTCTAGTTCGGCTCCTTCAACTATCACTTCTGAAAATATTTCCAATTCTGGTAAATCTTCCAATTCGTTCATGTTTAAATATTCGTCTCTA